TGGAGGTGTGCAGAACTCAACTTGACAAGGCCCAGCACAACCTGATCTACCTTTAGACTGGGGAGTTAGACTACAGACCTCCAGAGATGCCTTCCTAATAAGACGTCCTGGTGATTCTGCATTATGGTAGGAGGGAGGGAATATGGCTGCCTTCCTTTGGGGCTGTCGGCACCCCCCTGCTCTGAAACATCCTTAGTGCCCAGGACAGATCTGAGACACTTGTGCCTCTCCCTCACCATGCCTGGGCTGCTCTCCTCCTCGTGCAACATTAACACAGGAGGGGGATGCTCGGTGTGGTTTCTCCATGGCCTGGCAAAGGCTAGAAGCTGTGTGTCCCTGCAGGCTTGCCTGGAAGAAAGGTCTGAAGACCCAGTGCTGAGCTGGAGCTGGCACCACTGTACCGTGTGGTGCTGTGCACTTCCAGCCAGCCCAGGAAATAACACAGCTGCTGCAACTCAGAGCCCCCTGACAGGCTTTTGGAGATCTTCTCTGCTACCTCTCTGAAGTGTATTTCTGTCTGTGCATCCACGGTTTACTGATGCAGAGCAGTGACTGAGCATCCAGAGGAATGAGACAAGGGAGGCAAATGACTGCAGGCATATATTAAAGTATTCAGCTTGTCCAGCTGAAAGAGATTTCTGCCAAACGATTTTATAAGGAATGAGACATTTTACAGGAAAAGCAGGGCCTCTCCTCTCATTTCCTTTCCCCTCTTCTCTATGAACTTCAAAGAAAAAAGGGGTCAAAACAGAGGCCAGGCAACTGGAACTGAGTTCCTGAGCCCTAAAGCCTAATTAGTCCAAGATACATTTCATTGGATATCTCTCAGACACAGGCCTAAATCACCAATCCTCCCCACCGTGCCGCCGAAGGTCAGATAAAGCCAGAACGTGGTCCGCAGTCTGCAGGGCCCCAGCAGTACCAAGGCTCTCAGGGGGGTCTCGGCCCAAGCCCCTCGCCAGTGGCAGGGCTCTCCCAGCCCCCCAGGCTTTGTGTGGCCACAGCTAAAACTCCCTCCCCAGGACAGGGATTGTCTCTACCTAACTGGTGCCTTGTCCCAGGGCTGCTGGCGAAGGAGCTGTGCCAACTAAAACCCCACAGCGCTGTGTGGCTGTTGCCCCTTGCTGCATCAGCTGAGGCTACCAGAAAGCCTTCAGCTATTTGCAATTGCCCTTCTGGCAGTTTTAGGCTGATGTTAAACCCCCCTTATACCTCCCCTCAGCCAGGTGAGCCAAGCCCAGCTTCTGCCGGCTCTGCCTGCAGGCTACATGCCCCATGCCCCCTCCTGCCTTACAGCTGTTTGCTGGCCCCTGTCCAGCTTCTCTGCATCCCTCACCAGTGGATGCCCAGCAGAGGGGATAATGTCCCTCAATCTGCCTCTCCTTGCATGGCCCAGCATGTGGTTTGCCTCACCAGCAATGAGAAACAAAGCTTGGTTTTGCACAGGTTTAAGGACTCTCTGGAACCACATGCCAATTTCAAGTCACACATCTCTCCCTGCAAGACATGGGTCTTGGGTGGGGTTTTTTTTTCAGGACCCATAAAAAATATTCTCAAGAACAGAGAGACAGAAATGACACAGGCTGTTTCCCCTATGCACCCTCTCTCAAGTTGCTGGCCTCAGAGGGGTGCATCTTGTTTTGAGACTACAGCAAATGCGCTTCAACGGGAAGGACTCATTTCCGGCCCTGTGGTCTGAAAGCTGAGAAAAGCAAAATTCTGCTGCAGGTTACTAGAGTAATTTGGAGAGCAGAGAAAGGACATCATTGTCACTGTAAGCTTATGTGGCCTCCTGGTGCCATATAGCACAGCTCTGGAGCATAGGAAACTAAATCTTGCAGCTTGTGAGGTAGTGGACAGTTGCACACGAAGCCAGACAGCCATCTGGCAGGGAAAGTGAGGTCCTCATGGGTGTACAGCTACCCTAAGCTGCAGGCTGTGATTCTGCACCCCAACTGGTGCCTGGATCCTGCTCCCCAGCCACTGCAGTTGGGTGACCTGGTCAGCATAAGGCACGGCTCACTCCTGTCTTTGTGCTCAAGCTGCTCTCCCAGGGAAGCAAGAGAACAGGAGGGATGCAGGAGGGGAGTGCAGAAAACTGACTACTTTTGAATCGGGAGGTATCTAAAAATTACTTTATTAAATTTTCTGCCAGGAAAAAAGGTAAAATTCTTCCCTTAAAATTTTGGCTATCAAGGCACGCACTCAGTTCTCACTTGAAGAATGGGTCTGGTACCGATGAGGACTGGGTTCAACTCTGTTTTACTGCAGATCATCTGTGCTGCCTAATTGCAGCAAGACTGTTTATCTCCCTTTGCATCCATTGCCCAGGGGAGCCAAAATATAAAATGGAAACCTTTCCTTCCCTTATGTAATGTTCTGCCAGAGCTGGCATCCTGCAAGTGTTGGCTGGAAGGACCTCTGGAGGTCTCCACATGCAGGACTGCTGCCAGCACCAGATGAGGCTGCCCGTAGCTGTGTCTAGCCACAAAGCCAAAGTCTGCTTCTTGTGTGCTTGCGCAGCACTTGGTGCGTCGGGACCCTTTTCTCGGATGAAGTTGATGGAGAGCTCTGACTCACCGGACAGGGAGGTTTAGTTGGGGTGTCCCCCTATCTCTGCAGCTATCAGGGAAGGAAGGCCAGATGAGGTATATAGCACCAACATATGTCCAGTCTGTTAGCTTGTTCCTGTGCTGGTTTCACCTTTCCAAAAAATGCCATCCTGAGGACTGTGACGGTTCAGGACCAGGCAGCCTCCCTGTTTGGCTTTTCCTGCTACAGGCCAGTAACACGGGAGGGAGAGCAGGCAGTAAAGCAATGGCTGAATTTACTGACAGATTGAGCCAGATTCCTATCTGCTGCCAGCACAAAAACAGCTGCCATCTTTGGATTTTACGGCTTTGCTTTGTTACAGTCTGGATTAGACTTGTTTTCAAAACAACCTTCAACAGACATAAATACACCTGTCATTGAAAATAAATACGCCCGGAATGATTAACTGATAGTTCCTGGCAGTAATCCCCACACCTCTGTAATAGCAGTAAAAAAAATGAGCTGGGATCACGGAGAGGAAACAACAGCATGCAAAACATTAGCAGTGTGCCTTACTCACTATTTTTTCAACTTTACACTATTGGATTACTTTCTTAAGCACTCTGGGGACAGAGACAGCTAAGAACAGCTTTCATTGGCAAAGGCAGGCAGTTTCTCACACACGGCTGTATTTTCCATGGCTCATCCAGCAAATTGTACACTAAGCCTAAAAAAACAGCACGGAACAAGTCTCTCCAAGAGGGGCTGAGTACAGCGGATTTCACATCCCCATGCACTGGCAGTCTAGCACCAGTATCGGGCACTTACTGGGAGCAGGTGGGAAGTGCCCCGCACCAAGGAGACATGAGCAGCAAGACCCTCGGTGCTGCCCAGGGAGTGAAGAGCTCCCTTCCCAGCAAGGCCACCTAAGTCTACACGCAGCCGGGAGGGACACAGTCAGCTTTACTCATCCTCTAGGATTAAACAGGGCTTCAAGACTTTTGGCCTCAGTCAGAGTCCAAGCAGCACGGATGGATTGCCACAACCACTCTTTGTGTATTTAAAGGGCAGTTGTCTCTCATCTGCCCCCTCGCCACTGGAGGGCTCTGCCCTGTACAGCAGCATTTTTCCAATTCTTAGTCCATAATTAAAGCAGCCAAGATATGCGATTAATTTCCCTACTAATGAAATATTACCTTACGCAGTGTCATTCTTTCACACATGACCACACTTCTGAAATGCAGAGCTCACGCTAGCTTAAGGCTTGCAAAGAGCAAGATCCCTGGTTTGCATCTGCAAACCTGCACATGCAAAGAAGCACGCAGCAAAGGAACTGTTCCACATCCGTGCCAGGCCTGACGTGCACTCTGCGCCACCACAGGGCGTCTTCTGAAACACTGATGAGTGAAGGACAGTGGGTGGACTGCACCTCTGTGGGAAACCAGCTGGAATACCCGAGTTCTGTATTCAAACTGTAAAACACTCAACAAGGCTTACGCTGAAGGCGCAGGCCATACTTCTAAGGCAATGCTGAAAAGCCAACTTGCAGAGCAACTATGCAGGTTAACTTACATTAGTCCTCTTGCCTCGATGTTACACTTGCTGTGCTCACTGAAGTGGCTGTTCTGTTTCAACTGCTGCTATTTTGAAGCATAGGAAAAAAACCCCACCCCAACCGTTTCAGGTCCCAGAACTGACAGCCACTCCTCAGAGAATACTGGTCCCGGCCTTTTTGATGCTTTTTCCCCTCACATGTTCTCCCTCAGCCTTCCTGGCCAGGCCAGCACCGTACCGGGCTAATGGGTAATTCCACTTCCACGAAGCCCTGCCTTTGGCTCGTGCTACGTCACAGGCCTTACGCCCAACACTCTTTCCCAGTTACCTCCCTGACGACTAACAACGGGGACAAGGAGGCTGCTGGTTCTCCCGGCGCTGCCGAGGACGGGCCCCCCGCCGCGGGGGTCACCAGCCAGGCCCAGCTGGGGGCACCGGCCGCCCCTCAG